GGCTCTCGTTTTCACGCCGCGCACACTTGTCTTAAACAAGTGCGAGGGTATCGCGGATTGAGGGCGGGTCGGTATCAACATTTGCTTCTCGCCTTAGCGCCGCGCGCATGCGTCTTAAACAATTGCAAGAGTTTCACGGATTGAAGGTGGGTCGTTTTCAAAGTGTGGCTCTCGCCTCAGCGCCGCAAACATTTGCTTTTATTTGAAGATGTAAGAGCGTCACGGATTGAGGGCGGACCGTTAAAAGTGTGGCTCTCGCCTTAGCGCCGCGGACACTCGTTGTAACACTTTGCACGAGTTTCACTGCTTCTATGGTTAACGTATCAGAGATGGCCTTCTGGAGCGACTCCGCACTGCCACGGCGCAACACTTACACTGATTCGCGGTGTCAAAAATCCCATGACAAAGGGCGTTCTGGCGCGCGAATGTCAGGTTCATTCGTGGCGTTGTGGCGTTGAAGTCCCGAGAACGTTGTTTTGGTACACTTCTGGATATTCAAACGGTTGTTTCCCAACGGGACACTTCCCTGAGTAGAAGTAAATCTCAACAGGGGCCTACGAGGAAGCTCAGCGGGAGAGTTTATTCCAACATCGTTGATGAGTCTTGAACATTACACTGGTCCTCCTCCTCGCCCTCCCCCTCCCCCTCCTCCTGCTGCGCCTCCTCCTCCATTTCTTCTCCCCGTCGCGCCCCGAGGCCAGTCGGAAGGGCGGGCTGGGCGTCTCGCCTGTGACTTCCTCATCAGTTATGGTCCTGAGCCTGAAACTTACTCTCGCGGCGAAGCCGCACCGGGGCGCGCGGGGCGGCCGAGTCGGTGCAGCAGCCCCTGGCAGCGGGCGCGGGACGGCATCACGAACGCACCCAGGAGGCCAGAGCTGCAGAGATCACCGCAGTCCCAGTCGCCAGAGGTAGCCAGTGCGACTGTTGGGGGGGCTGCGCAAGTAAGCTGCAGTGGCGGGCTGGGAACCGGGGTGGCTTGTCGGGCTGGCGACGCAACAGTAGCGAAGGCGTTGCGCGTTCGCAGCGCAGGGCAGGCTGGGGGCCAGGAGGATGAGTAGAAGCGAAGAGGCCGGGCGTACGGCCGGTGAGGAGCCGCGAGGCCCGGGCGGCCACGGGAGCGGCGCGTGGAAGCCACGCAAAACGCTGCTGGCGGGCGGGGCGGGGGGGGGGCGGGAGGCAGAAGAGCCAGGCCCAGAGCCAGCGCATGCATCACAGCCGTGGGCGGGGCGGCGCCCAGCCGAAGTGGGGGCTGGGCGAGGCGAGGGTTCCCGGCGATGAGCCGCCGGGAGGCAGAACGGGAGGGCAGCGCAGAAGCGACGCCCCCCATTTGGAGGTGGCCAGATTTAGTGCGGGTCGTTTTCAAAATGTGATTCTCGCCTCAGCGCCCCGCACAATCAATCGTTTTTAAATTGCAAGAGTTTCGCGGATTGAAGGCGGGCTGTTTTCAAACTGTGGCTCTCGTGCCAGCGACGAAAATGTTTTCATTTGCAAGAGCTTCACGGATGGGGTGTGTGTGGTTTTCAAAATGTGGCTCGCCTCAGTGCCACGCACATCCGCTTAAGTCGTTTGCACGGGTGTCACAGTTGAGGACAGGTAGTTTTCAAAATGTGGTTTTCGCTGTAGCGCCGCGCACACTCGTGTTAAACAATTGCAAGAGCTTCGCGGATGGAGGGCGGGTCGTGTTCAAAATGTGGCTCTCGCCTTAGCGCCGCGTGCATTCGTCATAGAAACTGCAAGACATTCGCGGATTGAGGGCGGGTCGTTTTCAACATGTAGCTCTAGCCTCAGCGCCGCATGCACTCGTCGTAAAAACTTGCAACCGCGTCACGGAGGGCGTTTTTTCTTGGTTTTGTTATAAACCACATGTGGCTCTCGCCTTAGCGCCGCGCGCACTCGTTTTATGAGTTTACAGCAGTTTCAAGGATTCTCATGGTGAACGTCCTGGGAATGGCGTTTTGACCCAATGTCGGACTGCCAGGGCGCAACAATTATGTTGATTCGTGGTGTGGATGTCCCAGGAATGGCGTTCTGGCACGATTCAAGATCATCAAGACGCGACAGCAACAGTGGTTCGCTGCCTTGAAAAATTCCAGGAATGGTGTTCTGGCGCAGTTCAGGATTTTCGAATTGTTGTTTTCCAGCGGGGCGGTTCCTGCAGTGAAAATGAATCCTTGTCAGGGGCTTGTGAGGAGGGAGTTTGGAGGGAGGGCTGAATACAACATCGTTGATGGGTCTTGGGTTAACACTGGTCCTCCTCCTCCTGCTCCTCCTCCTCCTCCTCCTAGTCCTCCTCGCACAGGGCCCATGCGTGCGCGACCTATTCTGCTTTTGAGGAGGAAGAAGAAAAGAGGAGCCTGATGCATGCAGTTATATTTGGTGGTCCTGCTTGTAGATGTAAGAAGCTCGTGCTATGGAAAGGGTCCGTGTGCACGCGCCTACGGAGAAGGAGCGGTGACTTCCAGCGGTCACGCAACCATATTGGTCATGCCGTGTGGTGAGCATTGAGAAACACCCCGGCTGTGTAAAGTCCGGTGTGGAGAAGTTGCGTTTGTAGCTCAGGCGAAGTGTTTTTCGACCCACGAAACGAATTGTTTTGCCCCTGTGGCCCGAGAGGGAGATGTCCACAAAATCGGCCTTGGAACGGCTTCCCGTCCATGGTGCCCGTGAGGAGGCCGAACGGTTGTACATTGTATCAGGGGATTGTTGTGAAGTAGGACCCCGTGGAGCAGCGTTTCATGACATCGGCGTGCCACACCAGCGCGTCATGACACTCATGATGATGATGGTGATGATGATGATGCTGATGAAAATACTAATCGTACCAATAAAATAATAATAGTGATGGTAATAGTAAGAGTAGTAATTATAATATTAATAATAATAATAGTAATAGTAGTAGTCGTAGTAGTAATAATGATGATAATAATAATACTAAGGATAATAATAACACGAATGATACAACTACTACTAATGATACTAATCATAATAATCATAATAATACATATAATAATAACAATAATAATGATCATGATGATGAGGAGGAGGAGGAGGATGAGGAGGATGAGGATGGTCCCGCGACGATACACGACTGGATACACATGCAGAGTGTCAGCCCTCAGTGTACTGGTGCTGGGTCAGGACCCCATGTTGCATATCTTTGGAGCGGCCGCCAGCGTGTCATGGCAACGGTGTGCCACACCTGCGCGTCTTTACACCCATCATCCTGATGATATTCTTGTCATGATAACGACTGGATGCACATGCGAAGGGTCAGCGTTCGATGTGTATCCATCGCTCTGTCGCACTAGCGTGCCAGGACATTCATCATCACGAGGATGTCTTGCTACGACGTCACACGCAGAGCTTACAATCGCTTCATCTGGGGAGCATAAGTCGCCAGCGTCCGTTGATACTTTCTGCTGTGGGCAGAGGCCAAGTGGGTCGTCCACGCGTTCGCCTGGAGCCCTTCTGGTCCTCGTCCTCGTCGTCCTCCTCCTCCTCCTCCTCCTCCCTTTCCTCCTCCTCCTCCTCCTCCTCCTCCTCCTCCGAGGCATCCTGCGCCCTGCAGACGTCGAGGCGGCTGGTTTCTGCTGCCACCTCTGGCCTCAGGGTGGGGCGGCTCTGAGGCTCTGGTCGGCGGCGGCAGGCACAGCCCAGCGTGTGACGCGTCCATCCGCAGCCGAGCTGGGGCACGGCGAGGCGAGGTACACCCATGCGGGAGGCAGGAGACTGTTCTTCAGGGTCCGGCGATATCCTGGGCTATCGGCCCGTCCGCCCCCCCCCCCGGAAGTCTTTTGCCGTTTTCGACCTGGTGGGGGTCCTCGCCAGACCCCGTGACCGTTAGCAGAAACGACTCAGGATGAAATACCGGTCCTGGGGCAAGGTTCGGGCCCGCATTGAGAAATCCAAGATGTCGAGGAGAGGAGGAGGAGGAGGAGGAGGAGGAGGAGGAGGAGGAGGAGGAGGAGGAGGAGGAGGAGGTCTGGGCTTGTCGGTTGCGCAGGTCCGAGGGGGGACGCAGTGCTGGTGCGCGCGGGCACACGTGGGGCTGCCCCAAGCGAAGAGGTGAGGTCATCAGGCGGTCCCCCCCCCGTCCCCACAGAATAACCCAGGGCCCATTTCGATCCGACCGAGCCGATCGATCCGATTCGATCTCGAGTCTGGCCGGCCCGATCCGATTCGAGTCCGATGCTCCGACGATCCGATGCGGCCCGATGCTTGCATGGCGCTGGTGTGCGTGCTGGCGCTGCCGATCCGATTCGATTTTTATGTCGTGCCGATGCAACCCGATTCGACGCACGCGCACACATGTCGATTCGACCCGATGTCCTGATCCGATGCTGACTCATCCTGGGATCTCCCGGGCTGCCACGGAAAAGCCAAAAACGACCTCCAGGGAGAGCGGGCGGAGGAAGCGGCCGCCGAGCGCAGGGCCTGGACACCCGGCGCTACTTCCTGTTTGGTGCGTTGGGCGCTGCGTAATGGGGGGGTCATAAATGGGGGGGGGGCGAGGGTGGTTCGAAAAGGTACCCAAACGGTACCTAAACGAGCCCCCTGGGGCTCCGGAGGGGCCCGAAAGGGGCACGAAAGGGGATCTTTTCTGACCCCCCCATTTGTGACCCCCCATTAAGCCACGCCCAAGTGCGCGGGGCCCATGGACCTCTCGACCCCTCCCCTGCGGGGCCGGCCTCTCCTCCCGGTGCGCGGTTTTGACGCGGCAGGCCGGCCGCCTCTCCCTCTGTTGGAGGCGCCAGCCAGATGCTTGGCTCTCGGGTTGCAATCAGCTCGGGCCCCGGGCAGCCGTTGGGGGCGACCCAATTGGCACCCCTATTGGAGCGCCCTGGGCGAGGCGCAGGAGCTGGACTGGGACAGAACACCTCCCGAGGCGGGAAGACCTCCGTGGGCATCCACGGAATGAGGCGCCCGAAGGCCTGGAGAACCGCGACCGCCTGGGGACCCGCAGGGCGTCCCGGATCAGACGCGGGGGCCCCGCAGCCGCTTCGGCTTTCTAGGCCGCGCCGGCGACGGCGCGGGGCGGCCGTGCGGCCTATAGACAGCTCTCGCGGCGCCTCGGGGTCGAGCGTGGGGGCGCGCCGTGACCGCGAGGGTGCGCCCCGCCCGCCCGCTGCCGCGCCGCCGGCGGCCTGGCGGCGGCGGTGCCGGGCCGACCGCCGATGAACGGGACGGCGCCCGCCGTCGTTGGCGCGGGCGCCTCCGACCCCTTCGCGGTGGCCCGGGCGGCGCTCGAGAGCCGGGCGCGTCGGGGGGCTCTGTGGGGCCCACGCCGGGCGTGCTTTGGTCGCCGGGCGTCGGGGCCCGGGGCCCTCGCAGATGATGGACGCGGCTCGGGGGGTGCCGCGTGCCGGGGGGTGAGGGGTCCTGGGTCTCTGGTCGTGCTTTTTGTTCCAGCACGCTTTTGGTTTCCTCGTGTCCTGGGTGTGGAGTTCCTGCTCTTGGGACTGGGTGTGACGCCTCCGCCTCCCTCCTTCCCTCCCGCACTCACGCTCAGGATTACCCCCACACGCGGATTCACCCACACTTCACTGCTTACACTCAGATCCACTGATGCTCAGACTCACTCTATACACAGACCACTCTCATTCAGACCCACTCACACTCAGTCAGGTCATACTCAGATGCACACATGCACACATACCACTCACAGGATGTTCACTCATACTCGGACCCACGCATACCTAGACGCACACTCAGACCTACACACGCTCTGTCACTCACGTTCATACCCACTCACACTCGCTCCTCAGACCCTGGCTCATTCAGGGTCACCGCGATATAGCAGGCGTGGCACTGGGACACCCCAAGGAGGAGCTGCCAGGGGTCATTGCAGTAGGCCATTCGCGGCCAGATTGTGGGGATGTCTCAGACGGCTTGCTTGTTTCCGAGCTCAGACTCCCTTCCTTCGAGAACCCCATGCCCAACACGAAACAGCAGGCGTAGCATTCGGGCACGCCGAGGAAGAGCCGCCAGGGGCGGTTGCACTCGCCCGTTCGCGGCCAGATTGTGGGGATGTCTGAGGCGGTCTGCCCGTTTCCGGTCTCAGCCCCCCTTTCCTCTTGAGAGCCCCGTGATCACCGCGACATGGCAGGCGCTGCACTTGGGCACTTCGAGGTGGAGCCGTCAGGGAGGGGTCACGTGCCCGTTCGCGCCCAGACTGTGTGTGAATGGACATCTCGAGCGGTTCGCCCGTGTGGCGCCCTCGACCCCTCATCTTTGAGAGCCTCGCGACCACTTCGATGTAGCAGGCGTCTCACTTGGGCATCCCAAGGTGGAGCCGCCAAGGGATGTTGCACATGCTTCTCGCACGTGGACTGGGGGGATGCCTCGAGCGGCTCGCTGGTTCTCGCAACCCCGACTCCTATCCGTTCAGAACCCCCGTGATCACCGTGATGTATGGGGGCAGAGCATTTGTGCACCTCCTGGGGGGGGCCGCCAGGGGGTGCTGCACGTGCCACTTCGCGCCCAGATCGTGGGACCTCTCAGGTCATGCTCTTGTTCCGGCACCCCCGACCCCTCCCCTCTCGAGCCCACGGAACATCTCCATGTGGCAGACATAGCATCTGGCCCCTCCACTGGGAAGCCGCCAGGGAGCGCTCTGCCGCCGCATGCTAAGCTCTTCCCAGGCACTCACAGACGGATGCGTCAGAAAGTGAACTGCACGCATGGGGATTGCCGCGTCGAAGTTGCATTTTGTTGCGCGACGCCAGATCTCAGGGCAGTCTGGTTGTAGCCAATCCGGTCGGAGCCAGGAGGCTCCCACCAGAGGGCTGGACTCGCAGCCTCCTGTCGGGCGGCGCTAGGTCTGGTCGGAGCCTGTCCGGTCGGAGCCCGGGGGGGGGCTCCATCCGGTGTACCTCCCACCCGACTTGGACTCCTGCCAGGCTGCGCTAAGTCGGGTCGGAGCGGGTCCAGTCGGAGCCAGCGGAGCTCCTTCTGGTGGGTCTCCAACCGGACTCAGTTTCCTCGTAGGCGACGCTAAGTCTGGTCGGAGCATGTCTGGTCGGAAGCAGGGGGCCTCCATCTGTCCAGGCTTCCCGAGTGGGGTGCGAGCAGATGGGGCTGCAGGGTGGCGCCGCATCCCCGATGCATCGGCGATGCGGCTCGATCAGGAGCCTGATTTTCTCTACGCCGACGTCGCCGATGCACCGCCCACGTCGCCGATACGTCGCCGATGCATCGGCGCTGCATCGACGATGTGGCGCAATGCGCCGACCCCATCTGCTCGGACATGTGGGAGGCCTCTCATCTGGTGGGGCTCCGAGTGGACTTGTGGCCTCTCCGGCCAGGTTGCCTGGGTTCTGATTTGCGCTTTCTTCGTGATCTCCATGCAGCTCGGCTTCGCCCTCCTGGAGGTCTCTGCGGCCACCTGGGAACCCCACCCCCACGGGTCCAATCGGCGCTGGGGCATCGGACACCCCCGTCGCGCCGTCGGGGGCAGACCCTCCTCAGAGTCTTGGCCCCCCGCCGGTGATTCAGAGCAGCCCGACCTACAGGGGCTGGGCTCGCATTGGAGAGTTGCCCGAGGTCGGCTCCGTCCGGGATGCCCACCGCCAGACGGTGTTGGCCAAGAACATCATGGACTCTTGCGCGTCCGCGGTCGCGTTCTGGATCTTCTCCGAGGCGATGGTGATGATGATGATGATGATGATGATGATGATGATGATGACGATGACGATGACGATGACGATGACGATGATGATGATGATGATGATGATGATGATGATGATGATGATGATGCTGATGCTGATGCTGATGCTGATGCTGATGCTGATGCTGATGCTGATGCTGATGCTGATGCTGATGCTGATGATGACGATGATGGTGATGGTGGTGGTGATGGTGATGATGGTGATGGTGATGATGATGGTAATAGTGGTGATGATGGTGATGATGGTGGTGATGATGATGGTGATGATCGTGATAATGCTGATGCTGCTGATGAAGATGATGATGATGACGGTGATGGTGATGATGATGGTGGTGGTGATGGTGGTGGTGATCGTGATGGTGATGATGTTGGCGATGGTGATAGTGATGGTGACGATGATGATGATGGTGAAGACGATGATGATGTTGACGATGATGATCCCAGGATGTCCAGATGATGGTTATATGATGACCAGGTGATGATGGTGATGACGATGACGATGACGACGATGACGACGATGACGATGACGACGATGACGACGACGACGATGCTGATGATGATGCTGATGCTGATGCTGATGCTGATGCTGATGCTGCTGATGATGATGATGATGATGATGATGATGATGATGATGATGATGATGATGATGATGATGATGATGATGATGATAATGAGTGAACTTCTCCGAGGTGGCGGAGCCGAGCATCGTCCGCAGGGGCGGCGTCACGCAGCCGCACCTCCTGCTCTGGCACTGGGCCTTCTGCGCGGCCTCGGTCACCATCTGCTCCGGCGCAATGGCCGAGCGCACCCACATGACCGCGTACCTGACGTTCGCTGCGTGCATGGCGGGCGTAGTCTACCCGATCGTGGCGAACAGCGCGTGGGGCGACGGTCTGCTATCCCAGGAGTTCCATGGCAGGTGGCACCAGGGCTACGACTACCACGACTTCTCCGGGAGCGGCGTCGTGCACGCCCTCGGAGGCACCTCGGCCCTTGTGGGAAACCTGATGCTGGGGCGGCGCATCATGCGGCCAGAGAACGGCGGGCTGCTGCCTGGCCTCGAGCAGAGGGAGCTGCGCAAGCAGCAGCAGCGGCAGAAGAACCCCAGCGGGTCCCCGCCTCGGCCGCACGGCCGCAGCAGAGAAGACCGCAAGCGTGGCGCCGGCACCCGGGCACGGACGGAGCCGGGCCACCTGGCTCCGAAGCGCGGCGACGGCGTGGACGTGGAGCTGGCGGGGCTGGCGGAGCAGGACCTGGAGGAGACGGACCTGCTGAGGCCTGCAGGCGGCTGGCCCCGCCGCTTCGAGGACGCGGGCAGGGACGAGGTGGAGTTCCGGGCGATCACCCACATGCAGGTCACTGGGCCACGCGTAATGGGGGGGGCGAAGATGGAGGGCAGCGAGGGCGGCCGAAAGAGAGGCCCTTCGGGGCCCCTAAAGGGGACCTTAAGGGTCCTAGAAGTGCACCTTTCTTCCCCCCCGTGTATCGCGCGCCCAAGGTCAACGGAATGTTTGCGCTGTGGATCGGCTGGTATGGCTTCAACGCGGGCTCCACGCTGACCATGGACAAGCAGGCGGCGCTGGCCGCGGGCTTGATCGCCTGGAACACGACCGTGGCGGGGGCCTCGGGAGGCTTCGGCGCATACCTGTACTGCTGCATCTTCCGTAAGCACCTTGACCTGGCCTACATGAGCAACGGCGTGCTGACGGGGCTGGTGACAGTCACGGCCTCGTGCGACGTTGCGACGCCTGGCTCCGCGGCGGCGGTCGGCTTCCTGGGAGGGATGGCCGTCTTCCCGCTCGCAAGCCGCTGCATGAAGGCGATGCACCTGGACGACCCTGTCGACGCTATATCGCTGCACCTGGGCGGCGGCCTCTTCGGCCTGCTCGCAACGGCACTCTGCAGGCCAGACTGCGAGATGCTGTCGAGGTCTGGCGGCGGGCAGGCGTCTCAGACCCGTTTTTGCCTTGAGGGGCACGACGCGGGGAAGCAGATGGTGGCGCAGCTCTGGGGGGCCCTGGTGCTAGTGGCCTTCTGCGGTGCATCCTTCGCGCTCATCTGGGGATTCTTCGCCGTCTCCGAGCGCACGCGCGCCCTGGAGGTGGAGCACCTGGTGGAGGCCGAGCAGCTGCTGCACCGGATGGTCACGCCAGAGGAGCCCCACGAGAACGCAGAGGCACAGTGGGAGCGCATCGTCGGCCGCTCGCCGCTCGCGCGCCGCATCCTGCACCGCCACGGCCTCGCCCGCGGCTGCTTCCCCCAGGGCGTCCCGGACGACGTCTGGCGGTTGCGGCGGGAGTTGCGGCAGGCTCGCGGCGAGAAGGCGGAAACCGCACTGGAGAAGCACGGCCTGGCCGCCTGCCTCGCGCGGGCGGCCCACCAGTGTTGGCCGCTGCGCGAGCTGGCGGTGCTGCGGCTGCGCATCTCCCCGGCCGCGGAGCTCTCGGGCCTGGGCTCGGCGGAGCTGGACGGCGGGCGCATGTTCGGGACCCTTCGCGCCCTGGTGGCCCAGGTTCCGGGGAGGGAAAACAGCCCCGACTCCTAGAATTGGCGTTGTGCTGGCTGCGCAGCCCTGCCCTGCTCGAGTTCTTCCCTGGCTGCGTTTGCGGAACAGCTTCGCCTGTCGTCTTTTTCAGTGAGGTTTTTTTCTGCCCTCTTCAGGTAGCGGCGGTGCGCGAGGCCGAGAACTACGCGCACTCGCCGCTGAAGCGCGAGGTGCGAGATCTGACCCACCAGGTGCGCAGCCAGGACCGGCGGCGCGCGGAGCGGGCGCGAGGGGCCTTGCAGAAAGCAGGAAGCAGGGCCTTCAGGGGCCCCAGAGGCCTCCGAGAGGGGCTGGCCTCGAAGGCTCCCTGCTTTCTGAGAGGCCCCCTCGCACCAGGCACCTACCAGAGGACCGCGCCCCCTCGCGCCCCCCTCTGGTTGCGCACCGCCCGCAGGAAGCGATCCTGGCGGGCCTGATACGGGGCGGCCGCCTAGGCAACTGGCGCAAGAGGCGCCTGCAGAGCGTCCCCGAGCGCAGCGGCGAGGGCCCCGGCGGCGGCAGCTGGGAGCCCACCGCCGAACGCCAGGGCGGCTACCAGCAGGCAGCCCTCGCGGATAGGGAGCTGCCCCCCGTGGAGGGCCCCAGCGCGGGGGCCGGCGCGGACCGCCCGCCGTCATCGCACTCCTCCGACCTGCGGGAGCCGCCGGCGTACGACCAGTTCGCGCCCGCCCTCATCGGGCGCACGCACTCCGAGTCCAGCCAGAGCACCGACCAGACACAGCGGGGGAGCGCCATCTCCTTCAACTCGGCCTCGGACGCCACGCCCCCGCCCAGCGGCCTGGGCATCCAGCGCTCCTCGCGGTCGCAGAGGCGCCACGGGGCGTCCTCACCGCGGGCGCAGGACTCAGGAGGAAAAGAAACACACAGACACAATTAATCCTCGATTCCCTAGAAAATATGGGAAAATATGATTTGTGTGTATTTATTTGTGTGTCCTGGGGCCCCTTCAAGGACGCCGTGACGCAGGAGCTGCTCATGAGCGTGCTGCAGGCGCAGACCCACCTGCTCTCCGCGCTCGGCTCCGCGGCCCACAGCGGCATCAGCACGCCGCAGGCCGGCCTGGTGCCCCACAGGGCCGCTGCCGCCCCCCCGTATAATATCCGGCCCGCGCTCGACAACCGGCGGCTGATTGAGGCGCTGCAGGCTGCCAGCCTGGACGAGCGCCTCTCGAGCGCATCTCAGTCGACGGCAAGCCTCTCCGAGAGGACCCCGCCCGCCAGACGGTGACCCTGGTCGGGCAGACCAGAGGCCATAGGCTGCCCGCTATAGTGGCGGCGCCATCCGGAGCTCGAGCCGGCTGGGTCGCCTGATCCTTCTCGCTGCTGGCGGCGCCGTCGCCGCCGCCGCGCCTGCCACGGTTTCCCACTTGAAGCCGCCCGGGACGGGGATTGTGACAACAGGTCCACGAGCAGACCAGGGACCGCGCACGTGGGACGGGGGGGGTAGGTCCAGGGGCGCCCCCGGGGTAGGAACACGATGGCATCCTTGAGCGCGCGGGGGTCCGAGGGTGCAGCGATCTCGTCCCTCCGCATTCGTATTTAGCCTGCTCCTTGAACTGTGAGCCGCGCTCGCTCAGCGACCAGCGGCCTGCAATATCGCGCTGCAATTCTACCTCGAAGGCCGCCAGGGCGAGACCTATTCCTCAGGAACGCGCCAGCTCTCTGTAGTGCCGACATGAGTTCCTAGGGCCGCCGCCTTTGTTCAATCCCGTTTCTCCCGTTATCGTAACAATTCCATTCCCCACCTCTTATCATTTCTGGGAAACGTGAGGCTCGAGTACGTCAGAATTCGGGTTCGCCTACGCGTTTTGATGAGCCCGTCCTGAATTTTGACGTCACATTTTTCGTGAGATGTCTGCAGCAAGAGCCCGCGCCAAATTTCAGACTGGGTCGCGTCATTTTCATGATGGCCCCGTGTGGCCAACCCGAGTCCCCCCAACCCGAGTCTTCCGTCTCCCCGATCCTTCTCCTCCCCACCATCAGAGACAAACCGCAGCTGGTCAGGCTGGATTTCCTGCCACTACGGTCTCCGCCCGACCACTGCCCCCCCGCGCATGGCGTGGAGCGCGCGGCGTGATGGGGGGTTGGATGGGAGGGGTCTGCCGGCGGCGCGGTGAGGGGGGAGGAGAACGGGCCAGCCTTACGAACCGAATATCGTGATCGACCAGTGGACCCGGAGAGGGATGTAGAATTGCGAGGCTTGGAGTTTCAAGACAGCCAACTTGGGCGATAGGCAATGGCAATGCTGAATATATCAATGGTGATGACACCGTGCCAAGGGCTGTGCTGTGCTGCCCTGCTCTGTGCCATGGTGTGCCGTGCTGTGCTGAATCGTGCTGTTGCATGCTGCGTTGAACTGCGCTGCGCTTTAATTGCTTCGGTGCGTATCCAATCGCCATTGGCGTCCGAATCCTGACCGAACTGATCTGGATCTCGAGCTCGAGCTGTCCAAGCGCATGGCTCGCTCAGAGGTGTTCGTAGTCGGAACGTGCCGGGCGCTCAGCCAGCTCGAACTCAAGATCCGATTTAGTTCCGAAATCCGATATTGGACGAACAGAGAGGAAGGCACATTGTCGCGCCACGGGACGTGCCAGGAGGGCGCCGCGGGATTCGCCAGAGAACGTGACGTGGCAGGGTGTGCCAGGGGACATTTCAGGGGACGTACCATGGACGTGTCAGGGGCGTGTCAGGGAACGCGGCAGAGGACGATCCAGGGAACATGCCAGGGGACGCGCGCACACACACACACGCACACACAAACACACACACACACACACACACACACACACACACACACACACACACACACACACACACACACACACACACACACACACACACACACACACACACACACACACACACACACACACACACAAACACGCAAACACACAAACACACAAACACACAAGCACGCACACGCACACGCACGCACACAGGGGACGCGCCGGAGGACACGCCAGGGGACGTGCCAGGAGATGTGCCGCGGGATGCGCTAGTGGAAGTGCCAGGGGGCGTCTACGCGACGAACCAGTGACGTGCAAGTGGACGCGCGCGTCCCAGCCAGTAGGCGTGCCATGGGACGCGCCGAAGAACAGAGGACGCGCTTAGCCGCCACGTCAGGGCACGCGCCAAAGGACGCGCCAGGACACGTTCCAAGGGACGTGCATGAGGACCTTCCAGGGGGCGTGCCAGGGACGTGCCAGGGGACGCGCCAGGGGACACGTCAGGGGCCGCTTTAGGGGAACCCGCCACGGAACGTGCCAGGAGGAGCACCACTGGGACGTGCCAGGGGATGCGCCAGGGAACGTGAAAGGGGACGCACCACTGGACGCGCCATGGGACCTGCCAGAGGACATGCCACGGGATGTGCCAAGAGATATGCCGGAGGACGTGCCAGGGAATGTACCACGAGTGGTTGTCAGGGGACGTGCGATGGGACGTGACGGGGAGCGTGCCGAGGCCCTAAAAGAGAACCCGGGGCCCGAGGCCTTTCCAGAAAAAGCTGCACGAACGAGATCTGCGCGGCTCTTCTGGGTCGGCGCTGGCCCCCCCTGGTGGCGGCCCGCGCGCCAGGGAAACAGAGGGGGGCCCCGCGACGACCCAGGAAATCCGCGCGGACCTCCGAAGGTTGATGCTGATGTGTGTTGAGGTGGTTGTCTTGCTCCTCTGGTGAAGGCGGGAGGTTCCTGCTCCTCAGGAGCTCTCCTGCACTTCGAGGAGGCCTTCCGAGGTCTCTCGCGGAAAGCATCTCGGAGGCCCCCCGCCTTTCTCTCAGGAGGCCAGCTCCCTCTCCTTCCCCGCCCCCCTGGCGCGCCGCCGAGCCTGGGGGAGGCGCGACGTGGGAGGCCTGCTGGACCGCGCCCCTGGCCACAGCGCGATGGGGTGGAGCTCCGCGCTGGTGGTCGTTCCGGGGTGCAGTCCGCTCTTGCTGGGCCGCATTTGAAGAATTGTTCTCTGTCACGGCTCAAAGTACACGCACGAGACCCATCCGCATTGTACAATGCCTCAAGAGAGGCTACGACATGTTCACTGCGTGGTCCTTGAACGGTTTCACATATAGAGTTGGACCGTGCTTGCCCCGCTCGGATGCAACTGGCACCTCTTCACTGCTACAGGAACCCTCGCTGATGTGGATCGGAGTGGTAGGCTTCTCCGGACACGGGAGCTTGAAGACAGGACAGATGCTTAACGTGGGCACCGACCATTGCTGAGGCCAATTCTGTGAAACACAGAGCCCAACACTGCCGCTTACGGTTTTGGCTTCCTTGGTGCCATGCCAGCCTAACCCAGCCAAGTCCGGCTTAACCCGGCTTCGGTTTGGGGCTTATTCTGGCTTTCTCTGGATCGCTGGCCCGTCCGCTTGACCTGATGTGACAGGTTTTGATCGCGCCTACAGACTTCGCAGGAGTTGTGTCCTGACGTTCGGCCTGGGATTGGCCTCCGGACAAGCCCATCTTTTGTGTCGCTTCAAGAGTTCCAGTGGGTAGGGTCAGCGTTTTTTCCCTCCTTCCTGCTCCTCCCCCGCCGCCCTCACCCAGTGGAGAGAGCATACCAGCACACCAACATTGGTACCCTTCCGTCGTCTTCGCCTTTCTGGGACCCTTGTGGACCGCAGGTTTACCGAAAGTACACGGTAACAAAACATATAAGCGCACAGTCGAATAACAATAGGCAGCGTACAAATGAGTAGTGTTTTGTCATGGTTACTAAGAAATGACGATCCGATAATGCTCCTGTTACTAGCCGGCCGCTCTGCGGTTGATCGGGAGTTTCTGTATGTAGAAGAAGGTGCGTGCGCCTGTTGGCGAGGGTGAGGATGAGGTTCCTCCTCCTCCTCCTCCTCCTCCTCCTCCTCCTCCTCCTCCTCCATCCTTCTCTTGCCTCCGTCTGTCCTCCTCCACCCCACAGCTCCATCATCTTCTCCTCCTCCTCCTCCTCCTCCTCCTCCTCCTCCTCCTCCTCCTCCTCCTCCTCCTCCTCCTCATTCCTCCTCTGGGCACCTCCCCCGGGGCGCGGATCCACCGGATCTGTCCGGATCTGTCCGGAAACGGTGCCGGAGGCCGCTCTGGGCTCCTCTGGGCACCTCCCCCGGGGCCGGTTTTGTGAGGATGTCTCAAGCGAGGGCGCCGGTTTGGGATTCGTCGGTCACCGGATCCACCGGATCCAGCGGATCTGTCCGGAAACGGTGCCGGAGGCCGCTCTGGGCTCCTCTGGGCACCTCCCCCGGGGCCGGTTTTGTGAGGATGTCTCAAGCGAGGGCGCCGGTTTGGGATTCGTCGGCGGATCCACCGGATCCACCGGATCTGTCCGGAAACGGTGCCGGAGGCCGCTCTGGGCTCCTCTGGGCACCTCCCCCGGGGCCGGTTTTGTGAGGATGTCTCAAGCGAGGGCGCCGGTTTGGGATTCGTCGGCGGATCCACCGGATCTGTCCGGAAACGGTGCCGGAGGCCGCTCTGGGCTCCTCCCCCGGGGCCGGTTTTGTGAGGATGTCTCAAGCGAGGGCGCCGGTTTGGGATTCGTCGGCGGATCCACCGGATCCACCGGATCTGTCCGGAAACGGTGCCGGAGGCCGCTCTGGGCTCCTCTGGGCACCTCCCCCGGGGCCGGTTTTGTGAGGATGTCTCAAGCGAGGGCGCCGGTTTGGGATTCGTCGGCGGATCCACCGGATCCAGCGGATCTGTCCGGAAACGGTGCCGGAGGCCGCTCTGGGCTCCTCTGGGCACCTCCCCCGGGGCCGGTTTTGTGAGGATGTCTCAAGCGAGGGCGCCGGTTTGGGATTCGTCACCGGATCCAGCGGATCTGTCCGGAAACGGTGCCGGAGGCCGCTCTGGGCTCCTCTGGGCACCTCCCCCGGGGCCGGTTTTGTGAGGATGTCTCAAGCGAGGGCGCCGGTTTGGGATTCGTCGTCGGATCCAGCGGATCCACCGGATCTGTCCGGAAACGGTGCCGGAGGCCGCTCTGGGCTCCTCTGGGCACCTCCCCCGGGGCCGGTTTTGTGAGGATGTCTCAAGCGAGGGCGCCGGTTTGGGATTCGTCGGCGGATCCACCGGATCCACCGGATCTGTCCGGAAACGGTGCCGGAGGCCGCTCTGGGCTCCTCTGGGCACCTCCCCCGGGGCCGGTTTTGTGAGGATGTCTCAAGCGAGGGCGCCGGTTTGGGATTCGTCGGCGGATCCGGATCCAGCGGATCTGTCCGGAAACGGTGCCGGAGGCCGCTCTGGGCTCCTCTGGGCACCTCCCCCGGGGCCGGTTTTGTGAGGATGTCTCAAGCGAGGGCGCCGGTTTGGGATTTTGTGAGGATGTCTCCAGCGGATCCAGCGGATCCACCGGATCTGTCCGGAAACGGTGCCGGAGGCCGCTCTGGGCTCCTCTGGGCACCTCCCCCGGGGCCGGTTTTGTGAGGATGTCTCAAGCGAGGGCGCCGGTTTGGGATTCGTCACCGGATCCAGCGGATCTGTCCGGAAACGGTGCCGGAGGCCGCTCTGGGCTCCTCTGGGCACCTCCCCCGGGGCCGGTTTTGTGAGGATGTCTCAAGCGAGGGCGCCGGTTTGGGATTCGTCGGCGGATCACCGGATCCACCGGATCTGTCCGGAAACGGTGCCGGAGGCCGCTCTGGGCTCCTCTGGGCACCTCCCCCGGGGCCGGTTTTGTGAGGATGTCTGAAGCGAGGGCGCCGGTTTGGGATTCGTCGGCGGATCCACCGGATCCACCGGATCCACCGGATCTGTCCGGAAACGGTGCCGGAGGCCGCTCTGGGCCCCTGTGCTCCCCACGCCGGGGGTGAGGGTGACGGTAGTTCCACAGAAACTCCCTCAAATTAGGCCCCCCCTTGTAACAGTGTGATCCCGCCCCTGCCGCCCTCTTCGTCTTTTTCCTCTCTCCCGCAGTCGTTGGCTTTGAGCGGCTGCCTTGATCCCTTTCCCACCCGCCCACCCAGCTTGCAGGTTTGACCCCCGCCCCTTCAACAGGAGTGGGCGGGGGTCCAAGATGGACTCATCCCACTGGCCGCCAGTAAAAGGAAGGTCCCCATCCCCCTCCCCCCTGGTAGTGAGTGGACCATCTGGCGGGATTAATCATTCGAGTAGCGATTCTGTACAGAGGGTTTTTTTTTAAGAAAGGACTTTTGCAACAAGGGTTATAGTAGTGGGTTTTGTTAGCAAGGGTTTCTCCCGTAAGCCATATGGAATGTATTTTAGTGATGGTTCCTCTCGTACGGCTTCCTTTGTAAGGACCTTTTCAGTAATGCGTCCTTTGATGATTCGTGATGGGTGTTGTCTGCATGGGTTCTCTTTATCAGGGATAGTTCAGCGAGGATTAGTTTAGCGATGACTCCTTGCGTCAGAATCGTAGAGGGAGAAGAGAATGAACAAGGATTCCTTTGCCACAGTTTCGTTTAGTGGGGATTCCATGGCCAGGGATCTCGTTTCAGAGAGGGTTTCTTCAGTAATGCTTTTGTTTTGGTAGCAGCTGTGATGTGGTTATTGCTGCGTAATGGCTATATACATGTCTGATATTGAAGTTCGAAATTCCTGCATCCGCGTTTCTTTTAGTAAGCATGTTTTGCGCAAGCTTCGTTTTAGCAAGTACCCCTCTTGGCCAGAACACCACGAGTAAAAACTCCTTGGGAAACGATTTTTGGCGTCGGAATTCTTCCTGCATGTCTAATGTTGTTACTTCTGTGCGTTCTAGCCCATGCAAGGAACATGCCAGTTTCAACAGTAGCTTGTTGAGGATTATCTGGGCAATTGTTAGTTTAGCGGGGGTGCTGTTCTAAGGATTCCTTTAGCACGCTTGTTTCGTAGTCCAGCGAAGAGTTGTTTAGTAACGGCTCGTATAAGCAAGGTGAATTTTGTGAAGTTATTCTAGCGAGGATCAGTTTGGTGAGAAATCGCTTGTACAGAATAAATGTAGTAATGTTTCCTTGGGCTAGCATCCTCGTGCTACAGGCATGTTCGCTCCGTAAAGGGATTTCGTGTATTGATTCAGTAGATCGCGTCAAGGAAGCAAGGGTCCTCATAATAGCGAGCATCCAGCTAGGATTCGTTTCATGATGGTTATTTCTGCAACTGACATTAAACATGTGTTATCCATTTGGGTTGTGATGTCAAAAGGATCATTCCATTACGTATTACGTACAGGAGAATTGGGCGGGAAGGATCCTTTCGGGGCTGGTTTGGTAAGTTGTTGCTTGGTAATGGTTATGTTGTGTTGATTTTCTTTCTCAGCGAGGACCAGCTTAGTGCTGATTCCTGTAATAATGGGTATTAAATAAGCGGCAATCGATATGTCGTACGTCAGTGCGGATTATCTTTGTGCGGACTTGCATTCGCAAGCGATGGCCAGTTTAGCGGGATTTGTTTGAATGAGCGCGTCTTCAGGAAGGATTCGTTGCGCATGGTTCGTTCACGCAATGTAGCGCGGACCTTGGTAGCATTCCGATACAATACTTGGTTTCAGTGTGGATCCTTGTCTAAGCCATTATCGGGTAAGGAGCACAGCGTAATGATCAATGTGTTGATAATTCTTGTTGTGCGGAATTCCCATGACGGCTCCCATACGCAAGGATTGGTTTAAGGTGCTTGTTTGGAGACGATTCTCATCTTGAGAAGTCCACTGGGGATGGGCTTGCAGCATTGTTTCAGTGAGGAGCACATTCGCAGCCTCGTGCCATCTATGGTGCCAGCGCGGGTGTTATATTCTTGTTTTCTTGCCGTGATTCATGTCGTGTGGGGGCATTTCGGACACGGCCCGTGTAGTCATGATGTATTCAGTATTTGTTCTTGCGAAACCGTTTTTCAGTAAGGACTGTTTCGCAAAGAACGTGTTAGCGCTCTCCAGTAGAGTTCCTTCAGTGCTGGTGCTTGCAGCGAGAACTCCATTGACATGGGTTTGTTGCGGCGGGGTACTTTTCGCGGGGGCAATTTCGTATGGATTCGGCGCTTGTGTGTGTGTGTGTACCTGTGGCGGGCTCTGGGCGCGGAGGGTAAAATGTTCCCCCGTCTCCAGGATGAGGTGTTGCCTCATCTGGCTTGTTTGGGCCTGCGATGTCGGGGCCTCGGGTGGCTTCAACGTTGCTCACGTAGTCTCGACCGCCCGCCCGGTGCAGTCGGTGCCACACACGGGGTTCGCGGATGGGGGTTCGTTCGGGCGAGGCGGTCATTGTTACATCGTGCTTGTTGTTGCGAAATGCATACGTCGGCATTAGTTTCGATTCGAAGAGTGTTTTATGTCCAAGACGTCCGTTCCGCCATCCTGGATGGTTTTGGCCAGGACGCTTAGATTCGAACGCGCGTTAGCCATGTCATCACGCCCGCTCGCCCCGGAGATCGGCACGACGACCAGGTGTGGTGTTTGCATTTGAGCGGCGCAAAAAAGGGGTGGTTGTCGTGGCCGACATTGGCGCGTAAGTTGCTCTCGTAAGGTGGCGCGCAAACGCCTTTGTTTCAGATGCACCATGCTGTGCTGGCGGCCTACGTAAGCCACCGCGTAAGGTCGCTATGCCATCTCGCGTAACTCCCGTTTCTTTTCGTCGCTCATTTGAGATCACTTTGGGACGTTCTGATTTCACGTTCCAAGACTGGGGGTGAAGGAAAATGTTCAAAAGGCTTGGAGCGTCCGAAACCTTCGGCCCTCCACTATCGACCCTCGAGCCCCGATGCTCAGGGATGAGGAGGGGGGTTCCGTCTTCGGCATCGGCGATTGGAAGACCATCGCACGTTGGATGTTATCACGTCGGAGCTCGCACGCCACCCTCTCTCGCTTGCTCCGGCTTTGGGAACGGTTGGGCTGAACTCGCGTGGCTGACGGGGACAGGGAGGGAGCCCCGCGCGCCGTCGCCCAAGAGCAACGAGCGCAGCGACTGGTTCCCGCGCCCCTTGTCTCGCGTCGGGGGGGGGGCCCTGACCCTGTCCAGTGGCTTTGTGGAGGCGACCGCTGGCCGCAATGCCTTCATGCAGGCACCAAGAGTTAGACGCGACCGCCCCTGGGCGCTCCGGGAGGGGCCCCGCCCTCGGGGGGCCCCGTGGGCTGGTGCTTCGCCCTCGGCGCAGGCTGGCGGAGGGCCGCCCAAAAGGCAGAGAGCAAGGGCGGATCCGCCGGCCGAGGCTCGGCGCCAAGGGTTGACCCCCCCCCCCCTCCTCCACCAAGGCGGTGTCAACGTTTTCGGGCTTGACGTTTTCGGGCTTCCCGGAGATACCGGCGTTGCAGTTTTTTCACGACGGGCGTTTTCGCCCGGTTTCGGGCCCCGGGACCCTCACATACCGATCCGGCTCAAATGATGCAGCTATGTGGGGTCTGGGGCTTTGGGCATGTTTTTTGGTTTTACGGTGTTGCAGTTTTTCGTTACGTCGGATCTCAGGGTGTAGGGCTCTGGACCAGGCAACGCTGACAGGCTTTTGGCTTCCCGTGCACCAGGGGCCCCGCTGGCACAGCTTGCGGCAGTGGTCGCGTTCTGTGCTCAGTTCGCCCAGGGTTCTCGAGAGGTGTTCGAACGCCACCCTCCCGCTGCTTCGAGCAGGAGTGTCGGTTGCATCCAGCCTGGCGCCTAACCGCGGTCATCGTCCAGAGGACGACGCGTCCGCGCGAGCCCTAGCTGGAGGCTGGGTGAGTGCCGTGTGCTTTCGCGGAACCGTTGTACCAGACCAGGCCGAAGAAGTCTTTGCGGCGCCAGGACTCGGCCAGCCTCGACCTTATCTCGATTACAATCCGAGGGGTGCGCCCTCAGAAATTGAAAGGATCCGTAAGATCGGCGTCGAAATAATGTGATGGCAGCTATAAGGTTAGGCATCTGCTTCGAGCTGGTAATACGCATCAGCGCGACCCTTCGCCAGGACGACCATTCGTGTGTGGCTCTTCGTGGGTCGCTGGGCAGGTACCCAGGCCGCTAACCGTCGCATCGCGTGCAGCCATCGGCGGGCCGCACACCAACGGTCACCCTTGCGCAGGATTGCTGTTGCGTTTCGCCGATGGGCGCGGCCTGGTGAAGAAAACAAAACATTCGGACAAATTCCAGCTGGAGGCTATACGCACGTGAGCGCCGCGTGGCTTCGCGGCCGGAAGAGGCAGGAGCGCTGGTTTAGCGAGGTCACAAGATGTCGAATGCAGGTTGGGACTCTCCTGCCCAAGCCTGAGGTTGGGCCATTCCTGCCCGAGCCTGTGTTGACTGCCTGCCACAGCCACTACGCATTGGCCAAGTCTGGGAATCAAGACCGATCACCATCGTCATCTGCATCACCATAGTACCGTAATCCTCACCATCATGCTCAACATCACTAGCCAGCTTGTTTTTTCGAGGAGGGGCGCTCGATGTGAAGCACCTGTCTCCCTCGAGTACGCCGAGGGGTGTACCGCGCTCTGCCGTACAAGCGCCTGTGCTCCTTGGTCGCCTTCCTCTGGATCCGTAAGTCTGGCTTGCGCAGGGATGCGCCACCCTCCTGAAGATTGCCGCCTTTAGTTTTTTCTAAGTTGCTGTCTGTTTCAGCCCCATGTATTATCTGATCGTCCCAATTCTCATTCCCGCCCTCTCTTCTCCTCTTGCTCTCCCCCCCTCGACTTCCCTTCTAGGTCACTCGTGGGGGCGCGAACGTTGCCCCCGCGCGCTTCGTGCCTGCTGGTCCACAGTGCTGTCCTTCTCGAGGGGGCGGCACGAAGGCGCGAAGACGGCCAAGGCTCCGCCCTTCGCGCAGCGCGGAGCGCGGCGCGAGGTGACCAGAATAATCGCCCGCTCCGCGCTGCCGCCAGCGAGCTCAGTTCCTCTGTGATCGAAGGTCCCCGGCTGCCCGTCGCGCGGAGGCTTTGGTGCGATCGGACGCCCCCGGCTGCCCTCTGCGGTCGACTGGGCCTCTGGCGCAAGGGGTGGAGCTCCGGCGCCAGGGGGGGCGTGCCATGGCAGGGGAGCGAGGGACTTGGAGGCTCGAGGATCGGAGGTTCTGCTGGACCCGACGCAGAAAAATCGCCAGAAACATAAGCTCTCGGAGGTTCGCGCACGACAGGATCCAGCCGTCCCCCCCGCCCCACTTCCGAGGAGAGGGATGGGCGCCTCCGAGGCCGTTTGCGCTGGACCCCCCCGTTGCCGAGGCCCAGCAGGCCCAAGCTGGGGCCAGAGCCCACAGCGTGCAGTGGCCCCCAGGCAGGCTGGCCACACGAGGGCCAGGCCCGACGTTCACCTGCGGGGGCCGGGCGCTGCTGAGCATACGGTGGGGGCGCTGGCTCCAGAATGTGCCCACCAGGCTTCAGACTCGGGAGGATCCCTTCTCTGATGAGGGCGGCGGTGACATCCGGCCAGGCCTCGGTTGTTGTTCCAGCGGTTTCCAGGTCATGGGTTCCTTATTACATGGCTCCTCCTGATGACTCCTTCATCGTGCTCTCTTTTGCTCTTTTTTTTGGGTCTCTCTCTCTCTCTCTCTTTCTCGCTTTCTCTCGCTCTCTCTCTTCCTCTCTCTTCCTCTCTCTCTCTCTATTTCTCCTTCTCTTTCCCGAGAACCAGAAGAGCGGCATGCGAGAAACCTTTCGGAGAGCTGGACCCCCCCTGGCCCCGGTCGCCTCCGCCCCCCTCCCAACCCCCACCCCTCGCGCGCCAGCACTCGCTGAGCAAGGGGCGCGGGGAGGGGGGCACAGAGCCGGCCCGAGAAGCCCGCGCGGAACTCCGGAGGTCTGTGCACCTATCGCCAGGGCGTGGAGAAAGGGGGCCTGCGGCCCCGAGGGGCGGCCCTCCAAGAGGGCAGGGCAGGCCTCTCGGGGCAATTTCTGGAGGCCTCCGGGGCACTTCTGAGAAGCCGCCCCCCAGCATCTCCTGGATTCGGAGTTATCTCTTCGTCGCAGCACGGCAGGGGCAATCCGACCGGCCGCGCTCGAGTGGGCGGTTCCCGTGCAAGTTTTTGGGGAGGTGAAGCCGCGCTCCCGGCCGGGTTGGGTTCTGCCACAGCTCTCTGCAGGCGGGTGGGTGTGGTGTTTGCTCGAGCATTGGAGGGGGTCACGCGCGGCGCAGGCAGAATCAGCTGCGCCACGTCCGCTTTTGTTCTGTAAGCATGAAACTATACCCCCATGCCGAGGCCAGCCTTAACAACGCCCCTCTGCGTATGGACTTTCCCACATATATGTATACATACATATATATATATATATATATGTATATGTATATATACATATATATGTATATATATGTATATGTATATGTGTATATATATATATGTATGTATGTATATATATATATATATATCGGAGTAGGCCCAGGGGCGGGGGTGGGGTGGTGCCACCGGTTGGCATGGCCGCGGCGTCCTGTGGGGTCCACGAACCCGCCCAAGACGGCCCATGAGGCCCAAAGACAGCCCAAGAGGCCCACAAGACAGTCAGCGAGGCCCAAGAGGGCCCCAAGACGCCCAAGAGCACCCCAAGAAGGCCCGAGATGGCTTGAACATGGCCGAAGAGGGCCCCAAGAGGGCCTTCAAGAGGCAAACATCGGTCCATTGTTTTCGTAAAACGTATATTTGCAGCATACTTGCTTACTTCGTCTTCACAGTGCCGCAGACGCTCCCGAGGAGCCCCAAGACAGCCCAAGAGGCCCCAAAGCCGGCCCAGGAGGCCCACAAGACGGCCTCAGGGAGGCCCAAGAGGGCCTCGTTCGAAGTCATGTTCCCGGAAGCCTCTCATGATTTCTGGGGTCCCAGGACGCCCAAGAGGGCCCCAGGACGGCCTCAAAAGGGCCCTAAAAGGACACTCAAAATGACCTGGAGGGCCACAGTTCGTTGATTTGCGCGAGATGTTGTTGGATTTCTTCCGCGCGGAGGAGACAGAGAGGGCGAAGGAGGAGGAGGAGGAGGAAGAGGAAGAGGACAAGGAGGAGGAGGAGGAGGCGGGGAGGAGGAGTGGAGGGGCCCTAGGAGGCCCCCAAGACGGCTTCAGGGAGGCCCGAGAGGGCTTCGTTCGAAATCATGTTCCCGGAAGCCTCTCCGGGAACATGATTTCCGGGGTCCCAAGACGCCCAAGAGGGCCCCAGGACGGCCCCCAAAGTGCCTTGAAAGGACATTCAAAAAGGCCCGGAGGGCCACAGTTCGCTGATTTGCGCGAGATGCTGTTGGATTTTTTCCGCGCGGAGGAGACGGAGAGGGCGAAGGAGGAGGAGGAGGAGGAGGAGGAAGAGGAAGAGGAGAAGGAGGAGGAGGCGGGGAGGAGGAGTGGAGGGGAGGAGGGGGGGGGAGAGAGGAGGAGGCTCGAGGGCGATCGACGATCGGCGACGACGACCGGCGACAGTGATTGACGACGACGATGACGACGACCGACGACGACGGCGACGACGACGACGACGACGACGACGACGACGACGACGACGGTCGACGACGACGACGGTCGACGACCGACGACGACGACAACGAGGGTCGACGACGATGACAACAGTCGACGCCGCCGATCGACGATCGACGGCGACGACGACGACGACGGCCACGCCGACGGCGGCGACGCTGTCCGCGTGACAGCCCAAGAAGCCCACAAGACAGCCTCAGCGAGGCCCAAGAGGGCCCCAAGACGCCCAACAGCGCCCCAAGAGGGCTCGAGATGGCCTGAAGATGGCTGAAGAGGGCCCCCCAAGAGGGCGTTCAAGAGGCACAAATCTGCCAACTCTCTGGGTAAATCGTACATTTTCAGCATGATCGCGTGCTCGCTTCGTCTTCACAGAGCCCCAGGCGCCCCCGAGGAGCCCCAAGACAGCTCAAGAGAGACCCAAGAGGGCCCAAAAGGGCCCAAAATGGTCGTCCTGTGGGGCTCACGGAACCCCCCAACACGGCCCAAGAGGCCCCAAAGCTGGCCCAGGAGGCCCCCAAGAAGGCCTCAGGGAGGCCCACGACGGTCTCATTCGAAATAATGTTCCCGGAAGCCTTTCCGGGAACATGATTTCCGTGTTCCCAGGACGCGCAAGAGGGCCCAAGGACGGTCCCAAAAGGGCCTTAAAAGGACATCCAAAAAGGCCCGGAGGGCCACAATTCGTTGATTTGCGCGAGATGTTGTTGGATGTCTTCCGCGCGGAGGGGACGGAGAGGGCGAAGGAGGAGGAGGAGGAGGAAGAGGAAGAGGAGAAGGAGGAGGAGGCGGGGAGGAGGAGTGGAGGGGAGGAGGGGGGAAGAGAGGAGGAGGCTCGAGGGCGATCGACGATCAGCGGCGACGACCGGCTACGGTGATTGACGACGGCGACGACGATGACGACGACGACGACGGTCGACGACGACGACAACGACGACGAGGATCGACGACGATGACAGCAGTCGACGCCGCCGATCGACGATCGACGGCGACGACGACGACGGCCACGCCGACGGCGGCGACGCTGTCCGCGTGACAGCCCAAGAGGCCCACAAGACAGCCTCAGCGAGGCCCAAGAGGGCCCAAGACGCCCAACAGCGCCCCAAGAGGGCCCGAGATGGCCTGACGATGGCCGAAGAGGGCCCCCCCAAGAGGGCGCTTAAGAGGCAATCATCGGCCAATTCTTCTTGTAAATCGTACATTTTCAACATACTCGCTCGCTTCGTCTTCACAGTGCCCCAGACGCCCCCGAGGAGCCCCAAGACAGCCCTAGAAAGACCCAAGAGGGCCCAATACGGCCCAAAAGGATCATCCTTTGGGGCTCACGGAACCCCCAAAGACGGCCCAAGAGGCCCCAAAGCTGGCCCAGGAGGCCCCCAAGACGGCTTCAGGGAGGCCCGAGAGGGTTTCGTTCGAAATCATGTTCCCGGAAGCCTCTCCGGGAACATGATTTCCGGGTTCCCAAGACGCCCAAGAGGGCCCCAGGACGGCCCCCGAAGTGCCTTGAAAGGACATTCAAAAAGGCCCGGAGGGCCACAGTTCGTTGATTTGCGCGAGATGTTGTTGGATGTCTTCCGCGCGGAGGAGACGGAGAGGGCGAAGGAGGAGGAGGATGAGGAGGAGGAGGAGGAAGAGGAAGAGGACAAGGAGGAGGAGGGGGGGCGGAGGAGTGGAAGGGAGGAGGGGGGGAGAGAGGAGGAGGAGGCTCGAGGGCGATGGGCGATCGGTGACGACGACCGGCGACGGTGATCGACGACGACGACGACGACGATGACGACGACGACGACGACGGTCGACGACCGTCGACGACCGACGACGACGACGATCGACGATGATGACAACAGTCGATGCCGCCGATCGACGATCGACGGCGACGACGACGACGGCCACGCCGACGGCGGCGACGCTGTCCGCGTGCGCAGAGCCACCGTGGGCCTAGTCTTTTCCGCATCGTTCGAAATCCTGTCCCCGGAAGCCTCTCCGGGAACATGATTTCCGGAGGAGGATGAGGAGGAGGAAAAGGAAGTGGAGGCAGAGGAGGAGGAGGAGGAGGAGGAGGAGGAGGAGGAGGAGGAGGGGAGGAGGAGTGGGCGGGAGGGCTCGAGGGCGATCGACGATCGACAACGGTGATCGGCGACAGTGATTGACGATGACGACGACGATCGTCGACGGCAATTGTGACGACGACGATCGACGACGATGACTACAGTTGACGCCGCCGATCGGCGAACGATGACGACGACGACGACTTCACAGTGCCCTTGACACCCCCGAGGAACCCCAAGACGGCCCAAGAGGGACCCCTGATGGCCCATGATTGCTACAAGCCAGCCCAAGAGAGGCCCCCAAAGGTACCCAACAGAGCCACAACGGGGGCCAGAAGAGCTGCCCAGAGATTCTCGGGAGGCCTCTTCCGCAGCGTCCGAAATCATGTTCCCGGAAGCCTCTGTGGGAACATGATTTCCAGGTTCCCAGGGTGCCGAAGGGGGTCCTAAGACGGCTTCCAAAAATCCAGAATTGACATTCAAAAAGGCCCGGAGGGACACAGTTCGTTGATTTGCGCGACATGCTGTTGGACATCTTGCACGCGGAGGATGAGGAGGAGCAGGAGCAGGAGCAGGAGCAGGAGCAGGAGCAGGAGCAGGAGCA